AATTAATTGGTAGTTCTAGACATAAAAAGGAAAAAAAAATCAATCATTTTATAAAACAAAAGCAAAATAGAAAAATATCATTAGAGAATTAATTCTATGATAATTTTGACTAATAAAATCATGTTTTAAAATATTTAATATTTGAATATACACAAAAGACCTCAAAATAAAGAGTAACTAAAATAAATATTACTAATTATAAATGGGAAGACTTTTTTAGTGTAACAGATATAAGTAACTGACTTTATTTTATTTTAAATTTTTTTTACTATTAACTATATGTTATATTTATTTATCTATATTGTTGAAAGTTGTTATATTAAAGCTAAGAACTTATTAGACTATAATGATGGTTTTTATTACAATTTGTCACACATGTAAGAAAAGAACAATGCTAAAATTGATAAAGGTAAAATTTTTTATAGTAATAACGATAATATTGATATTAAAGATGATTTTATTCAATTATTTAGTTAAGTAAGAGAACAAATTAAAGTAATTGTGTTAGCTCAATTTTGTCATTTAGTTGATGAACATCCAATGCAACAAGATTAAAATGTTATATTAATAGAGAAATAATAATGAAACTTCTCACCACACTACTATGCATTAATTGAAATAATCTTGATAAAAAAATTGAATTTTTAAAAATACTTTACTACATTCCTAAAAAATATGGTGATGAATCATATGTTGAGTTGAAATTTAAATCAAAAGGTGCAATTTAAATGATAGTTAAACAATATTTAATGAAAATTTACCAACATTTATTGAACATGAATAGAAATCCATAATTGTAGACATAATTCAATGTCTTTTTATATGACTTCACATATCACACTATCATATGTTTCACAGTTACTTTTTTACCTATTGAAATTTTTTATGATAGATATTGCCTATTTTATTAAGTATTTGTTTTAAACAAAAATATTTTAAAAGATTGTATTTTTATATTTTACCTTACATGGTCAAAAAGTAGACAAAAGAGTGTTGTATTGCCTAAAAAAAAAAGCTTAAATAAAAAAAAGTTCCTAATACACTATTTAATTATTACATCATTTACTTTTATATAAATTACTTATTTATCTATTGATTAACACTTACTAAATATTTTATCTTTTAAATTTCTTTATTATAAATCCACTCTAAAACTACTTAGAACTCATATCTTCGTTGTTTAACTATTAGATCCATAATTTATATCCTTAAACAACTTCCTAAACCTATCCAACATATTCTTTATCTTCTTTTTTTTTTTAAATATTGGTGAGGTCGGAGAAAATGAATAGAAGAAGGTTACATGTGAGTGGTTGACTAATTTTGATGTGAGAAAGATTAACTAAAAGACTCAACGTAACATTCTTGCATAAGCCATAAATAAACATGATCTTCCTTTCAACTTTGTAGAGTGTGATATGATTAAATAATGGATCAATTATATAAATTCTAATGTTGTAATGACTTCTAAGAATATTATTATGTCAAATGTTTAAAAAATTTACATAGAGGAGAAGGAAAAACTCAAATAAATCATGTGTAATATTTCTAAAACATATGTCTCACCTTTGATGTTTGGACAACAACTACTAATGAGGGTTATATTTGCTTAACTGTTTATTTTGTTGATGAGAATTGGAGATTAGTAAGTAAGATTTTTAATTTTTGTCGAATGAAACCACCTTATGTTGAACTTGAATTAGAAATCACTTTATTTGATTGTTTGAGGTAATGGGGAATTGATAAAAAAAATTTCTATTACCTTAAATAATGCTTTTGCCAATGATAATATGTAAGATATTTTAAAAAATCATTTTCGTATGCAGAATAGTTTATTGTATGATGAAAAAAAATTTCATGTGTATTGTTCTACTCATATACTCAATTTGATTGCATTACCTTAAATAATGCTTTTGCCAATGATAATATGTAAGATATTTTAAAAAATCATCTTCGTATGCAGAATAGTTTATTGTATGATGAAAAAAAATTTCATGTGTATTGTTCTACTCATATACTCAATTTGATTGTATAAAAGGGTCTAAAAGTAGCTAATGAAACACTTTAAAATTAGAGAGAGTGTTAAGTATGTGAGAGGATCCAATGGAAGGATATTTAAATTTCAAGATTATGTGCAAGATGTTAGAATAGACACAACAATTAGGTTAAGATTAAATGTTTCTACTAGGTGAAATTCAACATACTTAATGCTTGAGAGTGTAGTCAAGTATGAAAAAGCTTTTGATATTCTTCGGGTGGTTTATATTAATTATAAATATTATCCATCATATGAGGAATGGACAAAAGGAGAGATATTATGTGAATTTTTAGAACCATTTTATGAGACTATAGATATAGTTTTTGGTTCTTGTTATCTGACTTTAAACTTATATTTTATGCAAGTTAGGAAGATTCAATGCTTATTGAATGAATATTTATTGAACGAGGATGATGTTATAAAAGATATGGTTGCAAGAATGAAAGAAAATTTAAAAAATATTGGAAGAATTATTGTGTGTTGTTAGCTTTTGGAGCTATTCTTAACCATAGTTTAAAGCTTTATTTTCTAAGATTTGGCTACACCAAGCTTCATCCTTTAACCTCTCATGAGAAGGTCAACAATGTAAAGGATAAGTTTGATAAACTTAATGAAGAATATGCATACAATTGTAATGCTATAAGTGGCTCTCAACTTTCCAATGAATCCAATTTGTTGCCAAAGTCACATGGAGATAGAAATAGGTCAAAGAAATCAAGATTTTTCAATCTATGTTCTTTTATGTCATTTTAATTATGACGTATTTCTTATTTTTATTTTGTTTAAATGGTTATTATGTTATATTTTTTAGGAGTTTAAAATGTTTCGAAATGAAATTAAGTCTACCATTAGTAAGAGTAAATTGGATTTGTATTTGGATGAGTCACAAGTTGATTGTGATAATACTAAAGAATTTGATGTGCTTTATTATCGGAAGAATAAAGAAAAGAGATTTCTAACACTTTATATATTAGCACAAGATGTACTTAGTATTCCAATTACTACAACATAATCACAATCTGCTTTTAGTATTGGTGAATGTGTTTTCACTAAATATAGAAGCTCTATACTTCTAGAAAATATACAAATGTTAATTTGTATTAAGAATTGGTTGCATGACTTAGTTGAAAGTCCAAGTGGTAATATTTATTGTAATCACCTTTTATAATTATTATATAATTTGTACAAACATAATTCTATTTTTATTGCTTTTGAGTTTTAGATAACGATGAGATAAAAATACTAGAGTTTAGTATGCAATAAGATGTTGAAGACTAACAAGTGGGTGAAATATAAATCTATTAAGAATTAATGTGTTGAGTTTTCTTTTTTACTAGTTGCTTTATCATTTTATTTTTATTTCTTTGAAAGAGAAAATGACAGAGATGAACTGACACTTAGACAATTTTAATGTGTTCAACATTGCTCTACAATGGATAATGATGAGTCTTGCTGGCACACTGCCTTTGTGAATTTTGTTGTTATATGCTTTTTATTTGTGTTGAAAAGATAAATGAGCTATTGAAATTAGTTTTATTTGCACTTGGACTAATTTTCTTTTGTTATAGATGATTTTATGTAAATCTAGATTGTTTATAGAAATTATGTTACTACACAAATGTTTAATTGCTTATGAAATATTTGATTGTATCTTACATGTTTAATTGTTTATAGAAATTCTTAATGTTGCTTCTTAAGAGAGTGTAAATATTGTTTTGGCATGATTGATAGTTAGGAATAAAATTAAATTTGAGTTAGAAATTTATAATTGTTAAAAATTTTTACCCTTAAAACCCTAATCATAACTCTAACCTTTTGGGTTTTTTAGCCTATAAGACATTTGATTTATTGGACTTTTTAGCCCATACTTTTTGGCCCTAGCCCACATAAGCTAGGACTAGAGCTGAATCAGTTAGATTTTTTTGACACCTCTAACTGTGGATAGATATAAAAAGTTTGACTAAATAATGTATTAAAGATTTTTTTTGCAATAAATTTAGGTGATACTATTTTGTTATAGAACCTTTATTTATCATTTTTTTTATTCTAATGTGCAATATTTTAAAGTTTAAGTAAAAGTAAAAGTAAGTGTAATACTACCTTGATGATATTTACAGCAATTTTAAATAAATTATCAAATTTATCTTTAACATTTTATGTATTTGTAAAATTATTCTCTAGCATTAGAAAGAAATCACTTGTTTTTTTTTTTTGTCTCCTTTCATGTCTTCTAAGTAATAATTTGACAATTTATAAAAATTAATCACACTAAAAAAAATTATTGAAAGGTAAGTATCTCTAATGAGTTGTTATTTTTTTTTTACTGGAAGGACTATACAAAACAAAGCTAAGTGATTTATATCTCATTTATAATCCTAATAAGCAATTAATAGATAATGCGTTATGTGCATATTTTATTTTAAAAAGAATAAAAAAATTATAAAAATATACACTAACTTAAACAATAATATTATATGTTAAGTCTAAATAGATTATTTTTTAATTTATAAACTAATTTGAAGAATCTGTAAAATATTAAGAATAAAATTGATAATTTACTTCACTTTAAGTTCTTATACAACTATTTAAAGTTATTATAACAAAGAAATAATTTAAATTTTTAAATTTTTAAATAAATAATAAAATGTATATATATATTTTTCTATATTTAAATATTTTTTAATGGCTAATTAATAAAATATACAGATAATAAAATTCAAGAAACCCTCTTTAGCTAAAAACAAATTTTATTGTATTATTTATTAGAAAAACTCACTGTTATGATGTGTTTAGCTTCGTGTAAGCTAAAAATCTAGTCTTTCACGTAAAATATCTGTTAAAAAAGAGGAAGTAAAAATGAGTCCTCAATATATCAACGGATGAAAAAAAGTAGAAGAGGAAAAAAAGAAAATGCTATTCTGGTTAGAGAGGTAAACGCAGAAAGGAAAAGCACGAGTTAGAGTCACAATTATAATAGCAATAGAATATTCACACGCAAGCTCTTTTTTCGCCGGTGGATTTCGTTTAGATATTTTAATCATCTTCTTTTCAGCTCAAAAATAAAAATAAAAAATATTGTGTTTGGGAGCGAAGAAAACGTGAAGAGAAAATTAGGAAAAGTTTTGATTCAACTTGGAAAGCGCTTAGAAAATTTCCGTTTCTCTTAGCGATATCATCGCTTAGGTTTTCATCGCCTGAAAAGCTAACTCAATCGAAGCTCATATCTTCTCTCATTCATTCGGGTTCGCTCCTTTTGTCTCTCAATCTGATTCCTTGTTCATTGTTTTCGGAAATCGCATGCTTTTATTTTGTCTTTTTTATGTTAATTTTTGTTTTTGAAGAAAAGTTCTTCGATTCGGATAATGATTTGACAAATTGTGGTTTTACTTCGCTGGATTTATGCGCAACTCGCGTTTTTTTTGTAATTTTGGATTTCAAGTTGGAAATTTGAGTTTTCTTTGAGGCGATCTCGCGTATCTTTCAATTCGTTCTATGATTTGATCCTTTTTACGTTTCTTTTAGCTGATCGTGATTGTTTAATAAAGCACGCACATACGAGGATCGTGGACTAGGAAGCGTAGTTTTGTGTTGTTTTGTTTTTATTTTGTTCAGCATTTGCTTGTTATAAGAGCAAAGTAACGATTTCTGCAACTATGAGAACTTCATGGGCGGATTCTGCTGACAATTCAGCCAATGGTTCTGCCAATACCAATGCCTCGGCTGGCCCTCCCCGGTCAGCATATGTCCCTCCGCATCTTCGCAATAAGACATTGTCCTCCGAGGTTCCAGTGGCATCACACTCGTCTTCTTTGCCAGCTAATGACAGCCGTGCAAATTACGGTGGTCCTGCTCCTCATGGGGGCAGTTCCTTTAAGCCTGATCTCGGACGGCAAGGATATGGTTCTGGTTTTCAGACTGGTGGTGGCTGGAATAGTAGAGGGGCAGGGAGGGACCGTGGGAGGCGTGAGGTGAACCCTTTTGAGAATGATGAAGCTGCTGATCAATCTTTTAGTGAGCAAGAGAACACGGGCATTAACTTTGACGCCTATGATGATATCCCTGTGGAGACTAGTGGAGAGAATGTACCACCACCTGTGAATACATTTGCTGAAATAGATTTGGGCGAGGCATTGAATCAAAATATACAGAGATGCAAGTATGTCAAGCCAACCCCAGTTCAGAGGTATGCCATACCAATATCTCTTTCAGGGAGAGATTTGATGGCCTGTGCTCAGACAGGATCAGGAAAGACAGCTGCTTTTTGCTTCCCTATTATAAGTGGAATCATGCGGATGCAGTATGTTCAAAGACCACGTGTAGCACGAACTGCTTTTCCTCTGGCACTTATCCTCTCCCCTACACGGGAGCTTTCATGTCAGGTGTGGTTCTGATTTTAGATTCTGGTTTGCACTGCCTTCTTATGTCTATCTGTATACTCAAAAGCCAACTTTTGCTTACATCACAGATACATGATGAGGCCAGAAAGTTTTCTTATCAAACTGGTGTCAAAGTGGTAGTTGCTTATGGAGGAGCACCAATCACCCAACAGGTTACTTTTACCCACTGATGTTCAAGAAACTCTGACTTATTTTAACCTTTTTTGCTTGCTTGCTTGTATATACTTTGGTTTCATTTACCATCACCTTTGTTGACATTGGATTGGATTTTATGCCTATGCATGCAATGCTTATATGTGTTTAGGACTTTTTTTAAAGTTTTTAACAAAGAACAGAAAATCTAATAAGCAAAATTCATACCATTTTTCATTTCAAGCATGGACTAGGTTGTGTTGAAGTGAACATAACAAAATATGGTTTCAGAGATTCTGAACCTGGAAACGAAGAGATTGTTCGTACTATCTGTGCTCTATTGTAATTTTATGGTCTGGTGAAAGTATTAACTGGTAGATAATGGTTTCCAATCTCTTAATCATAAAAGTGATTAACTACTACCCCATTGTATGTAACTTCATTTGACTCCTGCAGATTGATAGTATTGTGGTTCTGTACATTTGTATGCACTTTCTTAATTAGGTATTAATATGTTGCATTGTTCAGTTACGGGAGCTTGAGAGAGGAGTTGATATTCTGGTGGCTACTCCAGGAAGATTGGTAGATTTGCTTGAGAGGGCTAGGGTGTCATTGCAGCTGGTAAAGTATTTGGCTCTTGATGAGGCAGATCGGATGCTAGATATGGGTTTTGAGCCTCAAATAAGAAAAATAGTTGAACAAATGGACATGCCTCCTCCAGGCATGAGACAGACACTGCTATTTAGTGCCACATTTCCCAAAGAAATACAGGTATCTCGTGACTCATACTCCGATTCTCAAGCTGACTATGTTTTTGCACAAGGATCCACGTCCCCCCCCTCCCCCCCCCCCCAAATAAAATAAGAAAAAAGAAAAAAGCTTCAAGTGCTTTTGTAAAGCAAATAATTTTTGGGAAAAGTTGAAAATTTCATCTTTTTCTAAAAGCTGGAAACACCTTTTGTTTTCAAATAACCTAACAAATCCATTTACTGTATAAAATATATTTCTACCATTTTTTTTAATGACTGCTGGCAGTATTGCCAGTATATATAATTTGAAATGGGCAGAGGTTGTCTCTCTATTTTCACACTTATGCTAATTTAGATTGCCTTATTTGAGGTGTTTGAGCAACTGCTTTAAAACTTAATAATTACAGAAGACTACCCCAAGAATAACAATGTGAAAGTGGAGGAAAAAAGACACTGTCTTTGATTGAACAAGGGGAGAATAACTTGTTTTATTAATTTGTTGTCTATTTTACATAACTGAAATATTGATAACTTTATGGGTGTGCATGATCAAGCCATGGAACAGTTGCTTTCAACTTTAAAACTTACTGAAACAAAAGTTCTCTACAAGAGTTTAAAGATTGACCAGGTAAGATTTAATGGGATCTCTTTACCTCAGTCTTCCCATGGCTTCCACCTCGAGCTTCAACCAATTATAGTCCCCAAGGAGAGTCTCTCTCCTTTGCAAATACTGTCTGTTCCTAATAACCTTTAGAACCTTGATTTGGACTTCCTGAATTTGCAGAAAATCAAGCACTTCTCTTTTGTTGTTAACTTTTGAATATTTGACTTTTGCGTTAACAATGAATCCTTACAACAACCACCACCAAGCCTTATCTCACTAGGTGAGATCGCCTAATGTTAACAATGAATCCTTAGATTTGGTAAAATAGTTCTTGAAGAAAACTCCAAATCCAAATTTTGTTTCATTGAGGTGGAATGTTAATACGATGCCAATTGTGTTTGTTATGTAGACCCATATGTTTTTTAACCTGGCTGTTTTAAAATTTATATTATTATTGCAAATGAAACTTGATTTGGGAAGGTGAAAGTTTTGATGCATACACTTGGCAAATGCAAACAATGGCTCTGCTTGACTTGTTAGTTGTAGACAATTTTCTTTGGGTAGAGCCAGTATGGTGATTGTGGCAATAGTTTATCCTGAATGAAATGGTGATGATGTGGTTTTTGGGAGATGTTGGTGATGTGCTTCTATTTTTCACTAAGATAGTTAAGTTTGGCTGTGAAATGTTTTACTGGCACTTTGTGCTGAGGATGATGCCTTGTGTGTGAGATAGAAACTCTGATTAATAGAGCTTGAGTTGTTGACAATGTTTAAATCAGCTAGATGTAATTTTTTTTTAGCTACATGATACAACAATGATTATAATGACTCTTCTAAAAAAATGGGTTTGATATAGCACATTTTGCAATTTTCATTTGAATGCAGAGACTTGCATCAGATTTTCTTTCAAATTATGTGTTTCTGGCTGTTGGAAGAGTTGGTTCAAGTACTGATCTAATTGCTCAAAGAGTAGAATATGTGCTTGAGTCAGACAAGAGAAGCCATCTAATGGACCTTCTTCATGCTCAGAGGGAAAATGGAATTTATGGCAAGGTAATTTTTCACCTGTGCGCATTGCTGCTCTTCAGCCTTGTACATGTGTATGCCGTAATTAGTTTTATTTTGTATTGAAATTCTCTATTTTAAAAAAATTTATACTGCACTGGAACAAGTTTTTGCTAAGAATAGGTAAACCTGATTTGCTGATTCATTGTATTCATAGTTTTAACTTCAAGTATTTTGTGGCTGGTTTTTGCAGCAAGGTCTTACATTGGTTTTTGTGGAAACAAAGAAAGGAGCTGATGCATTGGAACACTGCTTGTGTGTTAATGGATTTCCTGCAACTAGCATTCATGGTGACAGGACACAACAAGTGAGTCTGTTTAGGGGCTTGGATTTGTTTGCTTCAAATAAATTAAGTAAATCAGAGTTTAACTTGTGTTATGAAATTCTACATTCCCCATGAGACTTTAAAGGGATTATAAAGTTTGAGCAACTCAATTTTTATTAAAAGAAAAAAATATCAAGGATCAAATATAAATACTTCCTTTCCATGTTCATCTTTACTACCACAGAAAGGGGAGTGTTTTGTGTTTAGGTTTAATTATTAGTTTGGTCGGTCCCTGTATTTGACATCGTCTTCTTGATGAAAAAATCCTATATTTTGGTCCTTATATAAAAAGCTGTTTACGGATCAGTTCCAGCCATTTATCAAAGTCAGAACAATGTTAAATTTGGTCTCCAAATTTGACATAGTTTATCATTTTAATCCCTATTCTTCATTTTGGTCTCTACATATAAGAGTTTTACATTTTAATTCCTATACATGACATATGATTTTTCATTTTACTCTCTGCATGAAAAATACAGTGTCACCATTATAACTTCAATAAATAGTGAAGACTGCTTTGTAATTTTTTTTCTCATAGGGACCAAAATATAAAGTTTTTTCATACAAGGACTAAATTAAAAAAAAACTAGGTATAAGGACTAAAATTATAATTTAACATTGTTTTTACTATAATTGAAATGAGGGTTTTTGAATTAACCATGAAAGCTCGTCTCTTTTTCCCTATTCCTACTTTGAAGGAACTTATTTAAATTTTTAAGATATTGCTGTATCTAAGTTCTTTATTCAAATTTTAAATCTTAAAAGGAAGAAAATTGTAATGCTGTCATCATTTCATTGAGTAATATTTAATTTTCTTGGCACTTCTGCTTCTCAGGTGACTTTTCTAGTACTCACAATCTGCTCTTTCCTTTAGAATCAATAGAATCTATGCTTTGAACTTTCAAATTACCCTTAATTATTTTTTGGGTACTACAGTTTTTCTTTTTAATTGTTGGCAAGCATGATATTATTGTTCTCTAATTCTTTGTTTTGTCAAGAATTGATTTTGTCTATTGTGGCAGCTTCTAGTTGAATCCCTTGCTTGTAATCTGCCAAAATGCTGCTGTATTTATTTTAATTCTTTTTTTACAAAGTCTCTCAAAAGATTCTATTTACTACCAATTTACTGCTTTGGAAACGCCTTCCCAGATATATTGTTAAAACTCCTGTAATAGAAGTTCTCTTTGTATATATTTCTTTTTTTGTGTACTAAAATTGAATGTGTACAATGTAATGATTCTGTATGCAGGAAAGAGAGCTAGCATTGAGGTCATTCAAGAGTGGAAACACACCAATTCTTGTGGCAACGGATGTTGCGGCACGTGGTCTTGACATCCCACGGGTAGCACATGTGGTAAATTTTGATCTTCCCAATGACATTGATGATTATGTGCACCGGATAGGAAGAACGGGGAGAGCTGGTAAAATGGGATTAGCAACAGCCTTCTTCAATGACAATAATGTGTCGTTGGCTAAACCATTGGCTGATCTGATGCAAGAGTCAAATCAAGAAGTACCTGCCTGGCTCACCCGTTATGCAGCAAGGGCGTCTTACGGTGGTGGCAACAGAAATAGGAGGTCAGGGGGAGCCCGATTTGGTGGCCGCGATTTTAGGAAAGAAACATTTAATAAAGGAACAGATTACTATGGTGGAACCGGTGGATATGGCAGTTATGGTGGAGGATATGGTCAAGGTGTGACAAGTGCTTGGGATTAGATTAGTGTCACATCACTGATTCATTCTCACGTTGATTGTATATAAATTTCAGACTTTAATGATGAAAATTTGTCTCTTCTCAACCATGGTTTGCTAACCATGCATTCCTTTCTACTGGAAATCTTTTGTCATAGGAAAGATTTACAATGGCTTGGTTTTGCTGGTTAGGCAAATAAGGTTGGGAAATGCTGCAAATGGAGAAGAAAAAATCTGTATGCAACCCGAAATTTCTGACTGGATGACTTGTTAGAGTCTGTAGAAGAGAGAGACGGTGTAAACAGATTGGATGGAGACCAAAGGGCAGATATTACTGAGTTTAAATGGTGAGTATTGCCGTGTTTTGTATTTTGATAGGTCCTTAGCCTTTGACAGTCTAAGTCAGGAGTTATCCCTAATTAGCATGCACATATTATTGATTTGATTATTCTATCGATCGAACGGTTCTGCGCTTAATTACCTAACCTACCTTTCCTTTACTAGAAGGATTCATTAAAGCAATTTTCTCTGAGTGGCTGTAACTTTATAGCCTATCTGTTGGTAGAAAGTTACTAAAAAATCTTTAATTAAGAATTATTCTTGATAGCTAAGTGTTACCCTTCTCTCTTTAGTTTGTCTATTGTTTAATGCTGTAATTATGCTACATCTTATAACATTTGGCGTACGCACTGATTTTATAAGCTCAATTATATATTTCACCGCGGGTTTTTATTATGTGTACTTAAATTCAGTGTTTACACCAAAAATTATAAAATGTAATCTTATTATCAAGAGACTACTTACAAAAACACTATTAAGCGTAATTCATATTCACTCTTCATTCTTTTCATTCTTGTTCCCGAGGAATGGAACAAAATAAAACTCTGTAGAATAACTTGAAGAGGAATGGTTTGAACAAAGTTTAACATTTCATTGTTTTGAATATTTTCATGACTAAATGGAAATCAATAATCCTACTGTTAAAGTATGAAAGTTTGCAATAGCTAAAAAAAAAGTATCAAAGTTTGCCGTTCGGAAAGTTAAAAAATGATAAATAAAATATTCACTAAACACTATGCACCGAGAATAAAATGTAATTGTAAAAATAATGTAATAGTGACACGTAAGTCTGGGAGTTTTTTGCTTTGTTATCAGAGAGATTTCACTGACAGCAAAAAGACAAGACAGAAAAAGTATACACAAAGGGTTGTCTTAATTCGTTCCATAATTACATTTCGCCCTTAGCAAATTTGTCAAGATTTTTATTGATACGATATAAGTAGTATAAAGATAGCTCTAATTTTTACTTTCTAAGTATTTTTTTCATTAGTCTTTTAAGCTGTGATCTAAGTACTCTTTTTAGCCAAGTTTCATTCAATAGTAATATCCTCTTTTTCCTTTTTAACGTCATATATTTGCAATTAAAATTGTCTTTAAAAAATAATTCTAAACAACATTAGAAAATTTAAGTTATAAATTTTGATTGTATTGATGTTTATAAATTTTGTTTTTCTATAATTTTTCTGGGACAGAATACAAAATAATTAAAATACTCCTGCCTTTGTCCCAAAATGCTTTGACTAGAGAACAGTGACATTTCTTTCCCCTAGAAAATATCTACGACATATTATTAAGCATAAAGTAAATTTTCTTAAAATTAATTATAACCACAAAAAATTACAATAAAATAAACAAATATTTTAGGAAAAGTATTATCTCACATAAATTTTCAAAATTTTCACAAATACCTATGTTTATATTTATAAACTTTCAAATCTATTATTTACAATATATTCAGTCAAAGTCTATCCTTTTCTTTTTTCAAAATTAGCACTTTTTAAATTCTCTCTCATGATCTTTTTAATTAATTATAATAAATTTATTCTTTAATTAATAAACTGCATATACATTTTTTTTGAAATAAAATATTCATGCATTGCAGGAATTATTAACTAATTATAAGTTAAAGAATGAGGTAAAATCAATAGGATAATATTTTGTAAATAATCAAAATATAATTAGATAAGAAATCGAGATTTATTTGGCTTAAAATAATAAGAACGTTGTGAATATAGAACCGTAAAATGTAGCGCTTGAGTTTTAAATTTTGAGTTCCAATAAAATTTAGATTGTTTTAGTCCTAGGTTAATCAAATAAAAATTGAACTTTTTTAGGCTAAAGGTCGCTACATGTTATAGGCCAAGTAGCCCGTTTCTGCACTACGTGAAAGTGTGATGAATTTATGACTTGAGATTAAAAATTAAAAAAGTTATCTGTTACTCCCAAATTCATTATTTTCTTACTCTAGTGTACATGCATATGTTACCAAAGATGATAACAAAAGCAACATTTTCTTTTGCCTAAAATCTTAAAATTATTATTTTTTATTTGAAATTTTTACAATTTAATAAAATTTTCTGCTATTTTTATAACTTCTAAACTTGCAAAACTATTTTATATTCAAAATCATCATAAACTCTCAAACATTTGATTAAAAGATAGTTTTATATATTAATTGATTAACAAATAAATTATAAAAAATTTAAACTTAAATTAAATGTGTAATATAGAAAGATTCATATGCACGTGAATTATTTTTATTTTAAAAAAATACTTTTATTCAAGAATTAGAATTTATAATTTATATACATAAATATGCAGTAGAGCAATAACTTGAGGATTTATTTTAAAATTAATTATAAAACATGATTTATTTATGCATTAGAAAGGGTAGAGGAAGAAGAAAGAAAAGTAAAAGAAGGAAATTGAGTTAGGGAGTTTGAGGTGAATGGAGGAAACAGAGGAAAAGGAGGGTGTTTGGTGCAGAGAGACAGTGCCAAAGGTTTTGAAAATCGTTTGTTCCACATTACCCTTCTCACACACACACCTCACTTCACTCCTTCTTCTCTCTCCCTCTCTTCATCGTACCCTTGTCTCTTGTCAACCCCTTTGGCAGGTACCCCTAGTCCCAACGCTCCTCATTTTCTTTTTATCAATTTTTATTTTCATTCCTTTTTGTTATTATTAATTTTTATCTGTATTTAGTCACTCAATTTTCGAGAGTTAAATAATGCCGGAAATCGCCTTATAGCTGCTCTTTCTCTGGTTAGTCTTTTATTTATTTATTTACTTATTTACTCAACTTATGTATGATTACATTACTAATATTACTTACTTATTTTTTATAGATTTTGTCTGACCTAACATTTTGTGGTTAATAGTGTTTTGGGGGTGAATTTTGATTGATTCTTGTAGCCTAGATATCGCTATGTCAAGCATATTAACCTAGAGTTTGCAAGAGATGTTGAAGACACGCATCTCGTCCTTATTAAGGATAAGGTAATATATATAAATATATTTATTTTTTTATTTCATAGTTTTCTATAAATTTTTGTTTGTCTATCTGTTGAGATGGAAGAACCCTGCTGGCTCAATTGGAGAATAATGTCATATAAAATTGTTATTCTATTCGATGCCATTATTCTCTTATTTTCTGACTTTACCATACATAATTTTGCTTCAAACAATTACTAATATCTTAGGCTGCAGAGAATTCATATGTTTGGTACCCTGATGCATCCAGCTTGATAAAATAAAAAATTTGGTACATGAAGGATGAAACTGATATGACATAGTCTAGGTTTACGTCATTCTTGTGTTTTTATTTATTTTTTATTATTTTTTTTAGTCTTGGTTATTGTATCATGTTGAGTTATTACTATATGTATCAAATGTAACTCATATCATTGTGATTTTGTTGATAATAAATGTAAAGAAAATGATGTAATTATGTAAACTCAGCTCAAAATATTCCTGTAATAGGAGGATTAAAGTAGAAACAAGAAGTTATCATTCCTAACAGAGAAGATAAAGATACGGGTACTGGGAACATAGATTATGAATAGGCACCCAATAACTGATTGCTGAATGCTGATTAATGGGTTTCATTGACCTGTTTGGAGTTAAGATGTAGATATTCTATCTGTTGCTTCTCTGTTATGATAACTCAGAAATGTTTTGACAAGCTGGAATATTTTACTACTGCAAATTAAATATCTATGATATTGTAAAGAAAAGAATTATATATTATAGATAGAGAAGAAAACCTTAGTTGACAATGATTGCACAAATACTTTATGATGTAGAATATATGTTGACTGTAATTCTAACCAAAGATTTTGAAGCATTGCTAGTGTTTTGATTCTCTTCAAAGCTTGGAGTCTTTAAATCTGAATGGCTGCCAAAAAATATCGGATACAGGGATTGAAGCAATAACCAGTTGTTGCCCCCAGCTGAATACCTTTTCCATCTACTGGAATGTCAGGTGCCTTAAACTTTTCTTAATTCTTAATGTGCAATGTTGAAGTTGCCAGTTGAAAATATTTCTTTGGATTCAAGTCAATCTCTTGTAACATACTGAAATATGAGTCATATTCCAGGGTAACAGATACAGGAATACAACATATGGTGAGGAACTGCAAACACATAATTGATTTGAACATAAGTGGTTGTAAGGTACACGATGCCTTGGATTTGTAGTTTTGGATTTCAGTTTATTAATTTAATATTGAATGCTGATTTTTAAAGGTTTGTTATGCGTACATAAACAGAAAGAATTGCATCCAATGTGTGTACATTTAGTTGATGCATTCTTTCAGTCTATGGCTTAGTTTGAAAATCTAATTCAGTGCGGAAAATGAATAGTTATGGCACTTAAAATTGATTTAGCAGTTTAATCCCTACCAACAGCAATTCAACTGAAAAGTGCTGAAAACATTATGCACATGGGGGGTCACTGGATGGCTTCATTTAACAGAAAACTTTCCTTTTTAAATTATTGTCACCATTATGCACATAGGATTTAATTTCTCTAGCTGTACTAGACCATTGTAGGGGGCCCTATGTTAAGATTACCCAAGGAGGAACTTATCAGTTGATGTGAAAGTTGAGCTGAGTTTACCCTTACCATACCACATAAATACATAAATAATAATAATAATAATAATACCCTATTGAAAAGTGTGCTGATGAAAGCATATTTGTGTGCTGTAGAATTCTGACATCTTGTCAGAAAATAATAGTTCTAGCTGTTGGGTTTAAATATACTTTTCAGGTAGTTGTAGCTGTTAGGTGTTAAACTTTGAAGTACCATCCAACTTTTTTTTTTATGGCATATGCACTTGTAATCTACACTTACTTGAGCTTGACTACCCAACATAGAGTGCTGGTCATGGATGTAAGAGTTCAGAAGAGAGGAAGGAGGAAAAGTCAGGATAGGCTTTAAAAGATCAGGTGGTGCAATTGAAAGGCAAAAAGCAATGGATCTTTCAATGAATAATTATGGGGGAAGGATGTTGAGAGACATGTGTGAGTGATATGTGGGAAAAGATGGCTGAAGGAATTAGGAAAATAGCGAAATAGATTCTCAAGAAATCAAGAGGATGGGAACCTTAGGCTAAAGGATTCAGTAGTTGGATGAAAGTGTGCAAATAAAGTCAAGGGTAAAAGGGAATGTTACAAAGTAGGAATGGCAAAATAGGCTAACTTGTCCCTTTTTGTGCCACCCTGCTGTGAACCCATCAAACAATGAGTTGAGTTCAGTCAATCCTGTTTTTATATGAGCTGAAAATATCAGTCTACCCTTTTAAGGCAGGCTAGTGAGTTGACCCGCTTAAAGGTTCAAAAAATTTAACATAATATAAATTAAACAAGTGAAAAATATATAATTAAATTCTAACCTAAATAAATAATTAATTTTATGGATATTAAGATTTAATTTTTTATATTTATTAAATGTATATAAATAAAAATTCGGAGATATATAAAGAAAGTTTTAAATTCTTTTTTTACTATTTATTTTTAAAATATTTATCTTGATTGGTCTGACCCGTCTCCCCTAACTCATTCAAAAATGCAAATTAGGCAGGGTGAAATAAATGGGTTGATGGATTTGAAACCTTCAACCTGCTTCGTTAAAATTGGCAGGTTAGGTGGGTCAAATTGACTAGTTCAACCTGTATTGCCATCCGTATTACAAAGCATGATCCCTGTAAGAATGGTGAAAATTGGGAAAAATTACTTTTACAAGCTATTTAACTAAGGGTAGAATTTTTGCTTTTGGATAGGATGAACACAAGGAACAAGGACCAAAATAACTCCTTTTGTTGTAGAGTTGTAGAATTTAAGAGCTTGAGGTAAAAGAAGCTTAGAGAAAAATGGCAATGGCAAAGTAGTTGGATCAAATACTATATCCATTGAGGTATGGAAAGATATTAGTTGGCTCACAAATGTTGTTTAACAAGATTATGGGGTCCAAGAAAATGTCACCAGAGTGGAGGATTCACACCCTAATCCCTATTTATATAAACAAAGGAGATATATGAAATTGCACAAGTTATGGTGGATCATGCTTATGATTCATGCTAAGAAATTATGGAAGGGTAATTAATTAACAGGATATCAAGACAAGAGACTCAGATATTGAAAATCAATTTGGATTTATTGCCTTGGAGGTCACCCATGGAATTAATGTACTTGTTGCAATGTTTACTAGAGCGCTATTAAAAGCATAAAGAGTTTTATACATGGGTTCCATTGACTTGGGAAAGGTGTATGATTAGGTACCAAGAGATGTTTTATGGGAATCCCTAATGAAGCAAGGAGTTTGTATTGAATATAAATGATCAATGAAGGACATGTATTAGGGGGTCACAACTAGATTGAGAACACATTGTCGTCACAACAAATTTTCCTATAACCATAAAAGATTGCACTAAGAGTTAGCTTTGAGTTATTTTCTCTTAACCTTAGTCTTGGACGTCCTAATTGAGCAAATCCAAGGGCTAATGCCACCATGCTTGCATTTTACAAATAATATTGTTCTGGTTGTAGAATCAAGAGATGAAATGAATGGGATGTGAGAAATGCTGAGATGAGCTTGAGAAGATCATGCTTTTGGTTAAGTAAAAGTCAGAGTATAGGAAGCAAGAGGTGCAACGACTGTAGTGTAGAGGTAAAATGTGGAAGAACAACCTTAAGTCACACAGTTTAAGTATCTAGGGTCTATCATACAGGACAGCCAGGAAATAGAGAGAAATGTACATAAACCATAGGATTCAAGCAGGATGGATGAAATGAAAGAGTGTCTCAGGTGTTATCTGTGATAAAAATTCCACTTAAGTTTAAAGGTAAATTTTACTGTCTGGATGTAAGACTTGTGATGTTGTATGGAATTCTATGTTAGACAGTAAAAAGCCAATAAGAGAGTAAACAGTAGCACAAAGTTGCAGAGATGAGAATGTTGGATTGAATGAGTTGACATACTAGACAAGATAGGATCATAAATTAATGCATTATAAAAAAAGGTTAGGATATCACCTACTGTAGAAAAGATAGTAGAATTTGGTATAGGTTGTTTGGGCATGTGTTCTATATAAGCCTTAGCAAGGAGAGTATATCAGTTAGAGGGCAGCGCAAATTGCTAGAAGTAGAGGGAGAATGGGAGATCAAGAAAAATTATAAGTGAAACAATTAAGAAGGACTTTGAGGTTAATAATTTGTCTATAGACATCATTTATGTCGGGACATTATGATGTTTGGTTGTTGTTGTGGACTGGTAATATGCTCCATGTCCACCACTCTGTTTTAACTTCAACTTACAGTTGTGTCAATTTTTTATGTACTCTACATTGTTAATTTATAGCTTTTCCCATGCATACACTCCTATATAGAAAAACAAGAAACAGATTATCTGTAAATTGTGTATAAAATGTAACAATGTCTGGAATATTCTTTCCAGTATTACTAAATATGCTTTTGGCCTTTTATTTTGATTGGATTTGAAGTGGTATTTTGGTTTTTATCATCTTATTGCAATTTCACATCTACAGTTGTACGTTAAATAGAAATTCATCTTTTTAGATTTGTTACTTCTATCCTCTGAAATATGTAAAAAGTATTTTCTGTGATAATTACAGAATATTTCAGACCGAGGTGTGCAACTTATTTCAGAGAATTATCCAGAACTCAAATCACTAAATTTGACTAGGTATCTCCACTGATTTATAACATATTCTTTTAGATATTGCACATTATGGAATGATAAATATCATTTCCCAAATAATGAATCAGACAGACAGACAGACAGACAGACATTTGTTGAGGGGGGAGGTGGGGTGTCTCCAGAATTTTGTTTCTAGTTCTATGCAAATGCAATTTTTTGCCTAAAATTTGATGTTAAGATTTCAAATTACAGTCTGTTCAGGTGATGCCAATGAATATTAGGGTCAATTATACCTCTTTTGATACTTATATCTTGTAATTGATGCTTAGGTGTGTCAAGTTAACAGATTTTGGGTTGAAGAAGCTATTGCACAAATGTCTATTTCTTCAGAGTTTGAATCTCTATGCATTGTCCAGGTAGGAATTGAAACTCAACATTTAGTTCAAGTTGTCTTGCCCTGGAATTGGATTAATTCATAGCATTACTTTTATTCAGTTTCACAGATGAGGCTTACAGGAAAATATGCCTTCTAACACGTCTCACATTTTTGGATCTTTGTGGTGCCCAGGTAAAAAATCTTGGGTTTTCACAGATTTCTCTGTACAACCCTATCTAAGCTTAGTATGGGTAAATTTCTAGATAATTACTTATAGGAAAATAATATAAATAGGTAAAATGAATAAAATTTTTCTTATAAATTAGTTAACTTATTCACCTTAAGTTTTGAAGAAGTTAAAAGAGAGTACTTCTAAAAAGGTAAAAGAGTATAAGTTGATTTTAATTAATGGGAGAAGTTTGATTTATTTTTCTTCTTTATTTTTATCTTCTATAAAATATTTATTGAGAAGTTTATTCAAATTAGGCCCTAATGCAGACTGCCAATAGATAACAGTTTGGCTTGCAGAATCTCTCGGATGAAGGAGTCTCCTGTATCTCTAAGTGCAAGAACCTTGTGTCCCTTAATCTGACATGGTAAATGAATCATCAATCTGAATATCTTTCTCACTATGTAAAAATAAATGGACTGCATCTAATTTTATGTGATAGGTGTGTACGAGTGACTGATGAAGGGGTCATATCCCTTGCAGAAGGTTGTACCTCTCTTGAATTTCTAAGGTATATTGTATTTTAATACGTTTGAAGCATTACGGATACATTACTGGATGGGACACTTTTGACGTTAGAAAATATTTTGTTGGCCTAGTCATATTACAGATACAAATATATATGTGCTTCTCAAGATATATGGTACAATGTTCACATATTACACCATTCACAAGTTTGCATGCAAGGCTGGTATATGACTTTCATTTTCCAGAGAACTACCATTTTTATATAATAACCTTTGAGTGGCTGGTTTTAAACTTTTAATTGTGACCATTCATGTTTATATATATACACACACACACACACAGAGATGCACACCTACCACCATTAAGTGCCCTCTCTGTATTGTTATCCTGAAATCACTTCTCCTGCTGATGTGTTGAGAGGACATATTTGCAGCTTGTTCGGAATAATTGGTGTGACTGATAAATGTCTGGAAGCACTCTCAAAGTCCTCTTCCCACAAAATTACAACCCTTGACGTAAACGGATGTATTGGCATCAAGGCAAATTCCTACTTAAAAGTAGCTCTATATTTGTGATAACATACAAGATTTAGCTGGACCAGTTTTTTCTAACTGTTCGTTTATTTCTTTGCAGAAACGAAGTCGCCAAGAGTTGCTTCTGTTGTTTCCATATTTGAAATGCTTTAAAGTGCATAGTTAAAGCATGCTTAGCGGAAATTTGGTAATGAAAGCAGTCCTTTTTTAACAAAGCATATAACCGAATTCAATCGCATGCAATTTTTCTTTCATCTCTTTTTAGGCACTTATTTCTGCCTGTTGTATTTTTTTTTTATTATTTTACCATTTTTGTAATAACAAATTTATTCGTGTCTGTTAAGCCATTGAAAAACCTTGTACTCATTCAAGTAATTGTATTTATCTGAATGATTGTCTTCTCTTTTTTTTGGTCAGAAGAATGATTAATTGTCTTCTCTACAGCAGATATTTTGATGACATAAGAAGCCGAGTGTGATAAGCGAAGCTGCTACTTGCCTCGGTTGACCCGAAATAACATTTGTGAAATCAAATATAAAAACTTCGTTTGCAAAATACACGAATGGTAATCTTATATTCAAACAGGGTTGGATCTAGGAAGGGGCAAGCATGGTCCGGTCCCTTCATCGTAATATTTTTAAATTTAATTTGTAGATAGACTAATTAATTTTTTTTTATGATTATGTAATTTACTAATAATTATGTAATCTACTCCAGCGTGCACGTTTGCAAGTGATTTTAATTATGGACGTTTTATTCGCACTGTGTTCATTGCATAATATTTATGTAGATCCCTTGCCATCTGAACCAGGTTTTGAAATGGCAGGGTTGTGGTGGCAGCTGCAATGTAAGGGGATTTGTGTATGTTAATGGACCATCAGTAATCCAACTAGATTAAATCTCAAGATATGATATTATTTTGATAAAAGGTTGAGATTCATAGCTGTTATAGAGATACACAAACTTTAAAAGTAATTTATATATTCAAGTAAATAGACTAGGCTTGGGCCATAGGTACAGGAGATATATTAGGCCTATTTAAGGTGTGTTGAATACATCAGGTCATATTCTGAAGTCTTAAAATTGGCATGGTTGTCAAAATTACCTATTAGTGACATTGAATTGTTGAGTGGAATAATGTCTTCAAAAGTTTTTTCCTGGTTATCCATCACAAGTGAGAGGCTTATATATAAAATGAGAACTTTTAATTGACATGAGATTCAAAACCCGTTCAAGCAAGAAGATTCTTGAAATTCTGTTGAGTATATCATGAAACATGAACAATCATAAAGTAAAAATCCTCCTTTATATACATTAAATTGTGTTTAAGATTGTTAAACTTTCCTGTTTTTATTGTTGGCTACAATGGATCTTTGAAGAATAAAAGAAAATGATATTAAAAGGAAGTATGCACAATGTCTTCAAGGTGTGGATATATACGTTTTTATAAGTTTAATTTGCCTTCACCAATAACTTGGATATAAAATGGGTTGGATGGCAAATTTCTTTCAAGATACAATAAAGAACCTTAAATATGTTTTGCATTTCTACAACTCAAGCCTTGTATGATGATTTTGCATGTTATTTATTGTATAGTGAAGATAAGGCAAATGAATTTGTGAATATTATGAAAGAATAAATTGAAAATTGAGTTTTATGTGTAAGTGTATTATGTCAAATGTCCTTAGAGAATACTCTTATTTATAGACATTGGGTCTAGTCAGGAAGAGTTACATCAATTCAATTGATGTCTTTTTTTTAAAAAAACAATTTGTCTTTTTAAGCTGTGTCTTTTCAATGAATAACCACACATTTCTACTTAGTGTCTTATTTGAAAAGTTATCTTTATTCTAATTATTTTTTTTATAAATAGACAGTATTTCAATCGTATCTATTTATGCATGAATAATCACATCCTCTTACTTGATGGCCATTTATGTGAAGTCTTATTCTTTGATTTACATATTGAAATAAGTCATTATAACCCTTGGATTGAATCAAGACAATTTTTCATTTTAAATGAAAACGAAATAAAAGTACTCTTCCTTATGAACCAATACCAAATTTTCATGCTTCAAAATTGATATGTTTCAAAACTACTTGTTTGCGACGTTGAGGATATTGAGAGTTGTAAAATGGAATTATGTCTTTAAAAGTTTGTTTCAAGTTATTCACCACTAGTGAGAATTGTTATTGGCATGAGTTTGAAAATCCTTTAAAGCAGGGAGTTTCTTGCAGTTCTATTTGAGTATATCATCCTTGAAGCAATAACATTAATGTTTGATATACATTAAATTGTTTAGTTTAAGATTTGTTAAATTTTACCGCTTGATACGAATTATGATTTTTAAGTGATGCTATCAAGTTATATTTTTCATTTTTTACCTATTGGCTAATGAATATATAAATATTTTTTAATGCCTGGCAAGAAAAGTAGGTTTAGAGCTGAGTAAGCGATCACAACACATAACTTGTTTTTGGTTCAAATCACAATTAATTTCAATTTAAGTAAAACTAATTCCAGAATTTTATTTTCCAAAATAATAACTAAGGGTGTAAAAGAAAGGATAAAAATTATCTACCATCGAATATAATATACAAATCCATAAGACTTGTCAAAATGAATTTATACCGAGGTATAAAAAACTGAACTCAGAAATCATCAGGACCATGAATCGGGTCTCTCAGCCCACAGGTTATAACAAGTTAACCCGTGATGTGTTAAACACAACCCATCTTTTTATTCTTTTAACAAAATATTTTAATATTAAATTAATCAATAAATAATTGGTTAATACTTAAGATTTAATCAATAATTCTAGCTACTAAATGCTAAAAGTAAAATTATAAAAAAATGTGTTATATCTTTATTGAGTCAACCTACGGGCCAACCCCCCACTCAAAGGGTTGAGTTGGGTCGATTTTTTCGTAAGCTCATCACAATGATGAACCAAGTTGACTTGACTCATTTTAAGCTTAACCAGTGATAAACCAGCCCAAATGAACAGAATTAACCAGTTTTGACAGCTCTACATAAAATTGACTTTTGTAATTACAGTGGTTCTCAGCATCCTAGGATCAACGGTAGCAAGCAGGTCAAAAGCGTAACGGAATCAGAACACTGCCAAACAAATCATTCTGCAAAAACCTGTGTTTCTCTTATATCATACTATAATACCAATGGTTTTATAGCAAAACATGGATTGAATGCTCATTTGATGCCACTATATTTAAACGGGATAGCAGAAAAATCAAGTATTTGACCTGTCATGCCCATTTTTTACAATCACTAATAGTAAGCATCTCTGCCTATATTGCTACAGTTCAGTCTCATGCCCATGTTAAGCAACTCGCCTCCGTATTGGGTCGAATTCTCCTACTTCATTATCACTTACGCCTTTCCAAATTTGTCAAAGTTTCTGACGGACAGCAGAATAAAAAAATTACCCAAGTTTTGAAGATTATCAATACAGATATGGGAGAAATTCGAGCCCTAGGCTCAGCGGCCCCTATATCGGGAAGGACTTTGTTGTTTAATAGGATGTATGCAGCCAGTAAGCATCTATGAGAAAATCCTTTTAGAAGGAAAAAAAAATTGGATAAGATTAGGAAATAAAATGAGGGAAAAGGGAGGAAGTGAAGGGGGGAGGGGAGGGGGTTAGTCGGGTAGAGGCAAGTCAATAAGGCATAATCATAATTTTTTCTATGAGATAAAGGTGACATGATACAAAGCAGATCATTGCAAGGATCCTCCACGTGGAGATACCTGGAAAAGACAAGCATGATCTACCATTCTTACAAATAACTTACCAACCAAATGCTTCTTTCAGCCTTTTCTTTACGTGTCTCTGAAACTGACCTACAAGGATTGACAACCATCATTAATAAAGAATTAAACATGTACACCCAGATTCTGGAGCAAGAGGGAACAAAGACAGGATTGAACTACAAATTTGTTAAATCAGCACTTTTTCATAAAACATTGGAGGAACAGGTTTAGGTGAAATATAAACCTGAAGATCGTTTTATAACCATGTTTAAATTTATCTTAAGTTTTTACCAGCACGTGTCAGTAATCTCATAAGACAGATTATAGAAAGGGTGGCTCCTACTTCATATCATGATAACTTCCATGAAGTGTTCATTCATGTCAGTTAATGTTTCTTTGCACGACAATCAGAATTCAGATCCTGGTACAAAATCATATGCATATTTCTCTTCTTCATAAGTTCAACAAAAAAGAATAGAAATATTTCAAAGGCTGCCTAAAATTGGAAATTTTTCAAAAAGCCAAAACAGCACCTTCGGATTCAGATAAGCTGCAGTATTACATGGGTGATACATGCATTGTCTGAAATTTTTAGCACACTGCAAGCAATGTGATTTCTATTTTGTAAACCAAAAATATACGGCCCTACTTTAAATACTACCAAGTTCCACCACCTCTCATTGTTAAATTCATCCATTAGATCCATAATTTTAACTCACTCTGTAAATGACAGCACCTTATCAAGTTCACTTTTTTTCTGCTAATAAACCTGAGATACAACAGTCTTCAGTCTTTAGTTTAAAGGAACAAGATCGAAAATGAAACTGAAAACTAGGACAAAAATGAATTTCCAAGAACAAATCCCCAGAACTATAAAAGCCTTAAACCATCCATAAATTGATAAAAGAAATGAAAATCTCTATACCCATTTATGCCTACCTTTAAGTGTCAACGCCTAGATTTATTCTTGCAGCAATGAAATGCAGCTAAGAGAGCTATGTGATCTGAGGACCATTCAGGTGAAGGAAGTGCAGTGTCCTTTCTCAAACTCTCCTCATCCAATAACTCCAATAAAGACTCCACAACCAATGAATCCGCTGAAATGACGAGTCATATTTCATAAAAATGTGACTTTATTAAATTTATCAAAACAATATTATGCTGCATGAACACTCACCAGTGTAAAATATGTAATCTAGAGTGCCAATAAAATCTCTAGTGACATTTGTGAATAAAGGTTCATTTGTTCCACCATCCAGTCTCCTTTTATGCTGCTCATATCCAAGGCCAACTGTTCTAGCAAAAGATGAGTATGCACTGACCTAAATTTGAAGTTAGAAACAACCAATAAAATATTAATCAGGTGAAAAGTTGATAAAAATACTGAACTGAAAAGGGTAAACTAGCATATTTTAAATTAGCTATTCATTAATGTGATGCAGTTAAATGAATACATTACCAGTGGTAACTGATGAACCAACTTGCTGTGAGGGCGTAAAATATTAAGCGGGTCAACTGCTAAATCAGGATGTAAAGGATCTACCTTCCCCATCGCAAGAAGTGCATGAGGAGCACTGCAATGAAGTTTAGAATAACCTTAATGCAACAAGTTATCAACATTAAAACAAGACCTTTACAAAATAAAAACCACTCTTTTAGAAACCAAAAAGAAGTCAAACCTTCCTGGAACTGAATTAAAATCTCCACAAACAATCATGGGAATGTCTGCACTTGCAGCTATTTTCTCCAATCCTTTTAAGAGAGTGTGCACCTAAACAGAAGGGATAAAATTAGTAACACTCCACATTCAAAAAAAGCTAATTGATATAAAACCAAAGAAATGAACGATTTACCTGCCAGAGTTTCACATCCTTTAAATCTTGGGGGACATTTACATGTGTATTTGCCTGAAGTCCACATGCAATGAGTTAAAAGTAGAATAACTAAAAAAGATGTTTTGACCTAAACCTAAAAAAAGGTGGCAGGGACATGGGAGAAAAGAAAGACATCCTATTATGGTTTTCAAAAAACATTGAAACCACACACCTAATTTGTAATCATCAGCAAACCACAATAGTCACCAGGTTAAAACTTAAATGCAACAACAATCAGGGAGCTGGGGAACAATAAACAATCAGCATAAACAACAAAATCCAATGCAAAATATAAAATTCACTCATTGATTGTGAAGATATAAGAACAAAGGGTCATGTAAAGGTCATCAACAATAGCAGCACAAAAGAGCTTACCACACAAAGAAGCTGTCTTTTCCCAGGATTATCAAATGGCTGATTGTTAACTTTTGTTTCTAGAACCACAATTAGTGCAACATTATCCTAAGAATACCAAAAAAAGAAACTTGGTAAGCAACAGTTACACAAGAAATTTATTTATTTTTTCTGAAAATCAAAAGTGACATGCCATCTTTGGCAAAATATGCCACCTTAACCAGCCTATTCAAGGCCGTTTTCTTCTGAGTGGTTGGAATTGTAGCCTCTGTCAACGACTGTGCAGCCTTGTTAAATTCAACCTGCATGCAAGCACACACCATTCTGATTTGTGTACAAATGTAAATGAACTACCTTATACAAAATCAATCCCCTACCTCATATTTCTTCACATGTGAAAATCTATCTCTACGGAAGAATGTTGCACAACCATCAATTGTATTCATGTTTCCACTGTACACCTGTAAATCCACAATAAACAGGTTAACATTTAAAACAATTTTGAAATTGTGACCATAAGGACCAGAATATTGCAACAACCTCATTTGTTTTTCTCTTGTAAAGACCATAGTAGCCATGTTTGTCCAGTTCAGGAGCAAAAAATTCGTCATAATGGTCATTTTGAACCTGGATGGCAAAAAGGTTCTGTTAGCTAATAGGAAATCATAAGTTTCTGAGGAATTGGGTTTTGACCTTTATATAGATCCACTGATCGACATGCATGGAAATTATGGTACTGTTTATTGTTACTTAAGCAATCCATTAGAACATCCTAATCATTAACAACTGCTGCAACATAATTAATTTAATACCAACAACAATAGTTACCAAGCCTTTCCCACTAGGAGGGGTCATCTACATGGATCAAACAACACCCTAATATTCTACTGTAAATCATGGTTATTAACAAACGATTGATCTTTAAATCCTTCTTAATGGTTTTCTTCTATAGGTTTTCTTGGTCTCCTTCCACCTCTAGTGATCTGACTACCCTCCATTTGATCTACTCTCCTTACTAAATCTTTAACACTATTCTTATTACAAAAACTTGAAGAGCCAAGTTATTAAATCAAAGGTTTTCAAACAAAACCACAATAACATGTTGATGTACCTCCTGAAGACAAATAATGTCTGCACGGTAACCAACAATTTCTCGTAGCAAATTTTGCCTGCGATATGGCCAAGAAAGAGCCCATGAAGGGCAGTAATTGTATAGATCATTTGAGGCATATGCTTCAGACAATATATTGTATGATAGAACAGTAAAAGTTCCTGAAGATGTCATTCGCCCATCCACATCTAAATTCCCCATCCCTTCAACAGGTATCGATCGGCGTGGAATAGGTGAGGGCGCAGGAATGACACGTGAAGTTAGTATAGTGTTAACATGGCCCACAGGCAGTTTTGTCTCTGCATCAACTACAACACACTCAAACTTAAGGACATGACCAACGTCATCAGCAGTAGGGGTATAAGTCTTGGACCGTCCAACTTCAAACCAAGTTTCACCACTTCTTTGTGTGACAGCTGCTGGATACAAAGGTGTTGCAGACCCATTCGTCAAGCTAGCACTTGATGCAGAGGCAGATAAACTGGAACTGATTACCCCAGACCCACTACTATTAAAACGCCCAAATACCTCCTCCTCCTCATTTCCATTTTCATTAAGAGCACTTGCAGCACGGTCATGTAAGACACGATGATGCTGCCATGCATCTGAAAAACACTTTGTGGTGCAATGGTAACTTTTGGAAACAGGTATTTTGGCCTTAACACAACCTAGGCACTGCAGTGTGGCTTGCTCAGATGGATGTATGCTACAGACGGCAACTTTTCTATCACTCTGTACACGATACCTGCCAAATGAGGGGCAAAGGATATAGTGTCAAACAATGTAAGAAGTCTAATTTCTAAATCAGATCAATAGAAAATTATACAAAGGCACTATGTTTGGGACCAATTATAGATTTCATCTAATCAACATAATCTAACAAATATGTGCATCGTTCATGAATGACAACTAAAAAATCCAGAACGTACTAACTATCATCCTCAAATCACTTTTATATAATTTGAACCTCAATATATAATTACTACTGGTACAGCTTATCATCCTCAAACAACTTTTAAATAATGATTACAGAACACATCCAAAGACAAAACCCATAGCACGAATGAGACAGTTACAAATAATGCATTCAGCACTCATAAAACTGACGTTATAATCCTGAGTCTTCTTCACTTGATCATTTGATTGAATACAACTTAACCATGATGCCATATCAAAAACGAACTATCTACATAATACCTATAAAAATTGAGCAGCCCTTAAAGTGCTAAGTTTTTGCATAAAAGAACATATCTTAGCAACCAAACAAATTCCACAAACTATTTGACACTGGCATTAATCCAACAACAAGTCCAAACAAGTATCACTACCAGCAACATTAATAGGTAGTAACACAGTCTCCTCAACAAATACAGACATTATAATTTACATGTAATAGGACATGTATGCATGTCTGAAGGCAAATGCAGATACCATGTATGTATATCTTAACTCAAACTACCCTACAAATCACACTAAATAATGAATTGAACACGAAGCATATACCCCATAACCTTTGCCATGAACATAATAATGAGACTAGATACTACATGTGAAAATTGGATACAGTAGTGCATCTGGTTTTGCTTTTTCAGATGAAGATGCCATGTCTGCCTCTAGACACAGGAACGTAAGATACCCCCAACATCTTCAAATCATGGATATGTTGGATACCGACGAATCCAATATGTCTCTACATTCTTTGGTATTTTATGAATATTTTAGTCACTTTAAATTGCTACACCAAACATGGGAATTTGATAACAGAGTATCCCTCATAACAGTATATAAAGATGATGATCTACCAAATATCCCCTTCACAACATATAGAAGTAGAATAACATAATTAAACTAAAAGCTATACAAATAATATAAATTTTAGAATGCTATCTTCACTAATAAAAAATTTGCTGTTGAACTATTCTCAAATCTCACCTAATCCTACATTAAAAAAATTATAGAGCAAATGTGATCCATTGACAACACAACATTACATTACAAGATTATATAAACAGACCACAGATCACTGCTATGTGAATTAGCGAATCCAGTATTAGTAATTTTCTGCCATGATAATATGTGAATTAGCAACAATACCATTTTGAAACAATAAACATAAAGGGGAAAATAAAAAGTAAAATAGACGGAAACAAATTATAGAATGCAGAAGTCTTCGTCCACATTCTACTATATCCCAACCCCGAAAAATGCAACCTTCACAGAACAATCCTAGCACTTAGTACATCATTCAATTACCTATCCTTAAAATCTTTATTAACCTTACATTAGACATGTTTAAAATAATTTCAATCATCACTATGAAAAGAAATAGAAAATTAAAAACCCAAATACCAGTAACACCAAATACACGAACTTCAATTCACACAAGTTCAAAAAATAAAATAAAAATAAAAATACTCACACACTTGTTTTAAACACAAAAACAAGAAAAGAAAGAGAAACAGAAAAAGAAAACCTAGCAAGTAGCAAGCAAGAGAGAGCAACCCAGAGGTTTTCATATAATAATGGTTGTTGTCTGTTTGACCGAAAGTCAAACGCGTTAATTTGGGAAGCCAAGAAAGGAACGAACCACTTATAGCGCAAAAAGTGTCCATCTAAGGGGGAGGTTTCGGGAACATCATCGGTGAAAACGGTCTTATCGGGGCGGCGAAGAAGCACGTAAGGCGTTAGTTCGCAGCCTACAATGGGAATTTCAGAGGGAAGGTGCACGCGCAGCACGCTCAGCATGCTTCTTCACTCTTCTTCGTTATAACAATCGTCACAGCGCGGTAACCTTATCAACACAACTTCCACAACGCCGCGGCGGATACCTGGCGGATCCGCCATTTACTTGACCCAAATACCCGCCAGCCTTGCAAACGGATCTGCGAATTCGGATCGAAGCTTGTAGAAAGAGAGAGATCGATGGTTAGGGTTTTACTGCAGAGGAAGTGCAAGTAATCGCTTCGCTTCTTTCTGCTTTGGTTTTTTTTTTCTTCTTCTTCTTTTTTCTCTTCTATTCGAGAGGTGATGAGAGAGAGACAGAGACAGAAGAGAGAGTATTTGTCAATGAGGATGGTATACGAATACGAATACGATTACGATTGGGATACGACGCTGTGTATTTTGGCTTTGCCTTTGGCTTTGGTTCGTCTTTGCATCTTTCTTTCTTTTTTCTTTCTCCTTTTCTTCCCCTCGTTTCTTGGGACCTTTTCAAGATTAGATTAGATAGATATTTTTATTGCCAAATTATTGGATTTTCTCGTGGCCCTTGAGTACGGTACCCTGTGCCAAAAATGGTCCGAATTGTATGATTTTAATACTTTTTTATTTTTGAAAAAAAAAAAGCAACGGTTTTTAGCTTTCATTTCTATTAAAGTGTTATTTGTTTTTGGTTTTTATATTTAATAAATATATTATCTCGGTCTTTTAAGAAATTAAAAATTTTCATTTTTAAAGCTTAAAAACAATTAAATTTTTTATAAGAGCTAAAATTAAAAAATATATTGTTAAAGATTAAATATCTATTTAACTAAATTGTGTGAAAGTATGACATATGACAAGAAATTATAGATAAAATTAAAATTTTGATATATTAAAATCTTATGAAAGTTTAATTTTGTAAGTGTTTGTGATTTGCTTAGAGACCCAACAACTAATTGGATTAGGTCACTTGCAGCTAGCTTCTTAATGGGCCAAGTATGTTATTCAAGCTCTACCAAATATCTTACCTTGCTAACCACAAAACTTCGTAGTCACTAGCTTACATCTCTCGTGTGTCAAGAACGTTTAAAATATTTAGTGGTTAGAAAGCTTATGTTATGTTAGGTTTACTTCATGGTCTAGTCATAATTTTATCTCAGTTGGTATTTTTATTTTCTTGTGTTTGTAATTTCAACGATGCTTATTAGTTTATAAATTGACTAATGGGTCTATAATTAATTGAAGATCAATTAGATCAATAAAAAACTAGGTCATGTTTAGTAAATAAGATAGAAAAAATATGATATAAAAATTGAATAAGAACAATATATGATAAGAATATGATAAAAAAAATTTGTTGATCAATACTTTTGGTTGCTTGACAAATCTACTTTTAGAAGATATCTAATTTTTTCTCTCTTTATTTTGTGTTAGTACAATACTTCTAATAAAAAAAAAATTATCTCTGTCCTCGTTAAAGTATACTTTAGTTTATTTTTGAATGAGGTTGCATATAAAAAATGTTAATGTATTATATTTTATACTCTTTCAAATATTACTTTAAATTCTTCAAAAAAGTATTTGAAGGTTTCAAACCCTTCTTCGCACACTTCATTAGATTCTTCTCACAAGGATTTAGGCATTTCTTCCTAAGTTATTTGTAAATGTTTAATATCTACATATTCGAACAACATGTTATACAATTTCATCTATTTTTGAAATTATGTCATCATTAAAATTTTAGGAACCAAAGAACTTTAGATATTCTTTGTTCTAACAATGGTGCATTAGTTGTTTTAGGTTTTTATCACTCTTTCTTAATTCATAGCTTGCAACCTGTAAATGAAATGGTCTTCCTCTTACAAGCCACTAAGACAATTTGATTGACATTACGCCACCAACTATGCAAGACACCAGAGCAAAATGGAGAACTTTGATTTCATTATTTCTATTGACATGAGCACATAAGCTTCTTCAATAAAGCAAAGATGTAATGTAGTGATTAGGCATTGAGCGTCAATTAGTCTAGTGAAGAGAAATGAGAGATTTGTAAAACTGTCATAATCCATGGGTGTTATAGCCTTCATTACAGTTTATTTAAGTTAATTTAGATTAAATTCATAAAAATTAATTGAAACAATTAAATTAAATATTTTTAAATAAATTTGAAAATTTTATACTAAATTTGTATCCATCAAGTCTTTATACTCATATGAACTAGTCTTCTAGTTAGATGTTGGTTCATTATACTAGACTAGCTAATATAGTTTGATTTTTAAATTTGTAATTCTTGAAAAATAAAACAACACACAAGAAAATAATTAAATTGTGTGTTAAATAATTTTAATTAATTTTTTTTTATAAATATGCAAGTTGACAGTTAATAAGTTTTTAAGAAAGATTGTTTGATTAAACAAACAGTTTATAAATAATTAAAATAAAAAAGTTATATTATTTCAAACATAGAACAAGTCCTACATAAACGTAAGTCATAGAATAACCTAGTTAGTAAAACAACAGAGAACAATAAACACAAATTTATTCTCAACTTCTAAGAGTTATGTTTAACTCTTGTTACATGAACAAGATTTTTCACCATAGTAACAATCTTTACAAGTAAAGATAAGAAATAGAGTATTTTTTTCACACTAAGTCTTATCGAGTATTGAATTAGTGGAAGAGTTATTATTAATCATAAAATTGTAAGAATTTTTAGTACAATTATCCTTAATGAATGTTAAGTGTGTTAATAATAAAACTAAATATCAAAATAGATCAAATTGTATCTAAGTTTATAATAATTAATTTGTATTATACCCCTCTCCTTTACAAGTAAAGACAAGAAATAAAGTATTTTTTTCACACTAAGTCTTATCAAGTATTGAATTAGTGGAAGAGTTATTATTAATCATAAAAGTGTAGGAATTTTTAGTACAATTATCCTTAATGAATGTTAAGTGTGTTAATAATAAAACTAAATACCAAAAAAGATCAAATTGTATCTAAGTTTATAATAATTAATTTGTATTATACCCTTCTCCTGATGGAAAGTATATGTCTATGATTCTTAGCTTGCTAATGAATAAATAAAACTACGTAATTGCTAGAGCTTTGATAAATGAATTAGCTACATAATGTTTGTTTTTAACATAAACAAGTTTGATTTTGTAGGCTTGAACTAATTCTAGAATAAAATGGTACTTTATACGAAGGTATTTTGATTACTCATGATGTGCATGATTAGATGTAAGGTGGATTGTCAATTGATTATCACATAATGTCATAAGAATATTTTACCTCAAAATAAAATAATCTTTGAAACTATATTAATTCACTTGCTATTGAAGTGTGATCTAAGTATTTTGCTTCACTAAAAACTTTGACACTATTAATTATTTCTTTAATTTTCATATAGATATGCATTTTCAATAAATATACAAAAAATTATTGTGGATCATCTTATGTTAAGGCAACTATCCTAATCTGCATCAACATATGTAGATAAGTTAAGAGATTTCTTTATAAGTCTTGACTTAGAACCTTATTTTGGATATTGTAATAGATTATATATTACTTGAAGATAAAGTGTTCGAGGAGTAAGTCTAAGGAGTGGTCATGTACTAACTTGCTAACAATAAAGTTAATATCTAACTTATAAGTATTTAAGTACATCAATTTCCTTCGAGTATTTGTAGAGAGTAAGTTTAGGTCTTTTTTAATTGTTGTGAGTAGGCTTGTATGGATTGGGTTGATAGAAAACTAATTTAAAATACATTTTTAATCTATTAATATGGATTAAATTTTAAACCATCTATTTTATTTTTCTTAAAATTGATGTAAAACTTAGATTTGGTTTAAAACCAGTTTCAAATATAGTTTTTATTAAAACCGATTTAAATCTAGCTTTGCTTGAAATTGATTTTAAATCCAATAGTTTAAGTTAAATTAGTTTCAAATCAAGTTTTTAAGGCAAAATAAATTTTAAATACATTTATAAATTTAGTTTTTAAGTCAAAACCAATTTTTAATTCCATGTCTTTTAGTAAACCGGTCTTAATGTGAGTTTATGTGATAGATTCATGGATAAATCAATAGGTTTGGAAGGTAGAAACCGCATATCTTCTAAAAGTTGAATTGTGTATTTTCATTGAGACAAGACAATGCCCTTTGAGATTTTTGGCTATCTCTAAATCAAGAAAATGAATAAGGTCTCAAAGAAATTATAGTTTGAATAATTTTTGCAATTATTTTTGAACTTTAAGTAATATTTGAGTATTAGGTTTTTAAAAAAATTATATTCACATTTACAAGCAAAATAATCAATGAGTTACTTGAGTTTTTAATAAATAAGAAAAAATTATCTGTTTATGATCAAAACTATAAGTAATGAAAAATGTAAATAATTATCAAAATTACTATCTAGATGTTTGTTAGAGGTCATGCTATGTAAGCTTTTTTAAACAAATCTCCTTTAAGAGGAGAACTAATGTTGAATGATTGTTACATTAAGAAGAACTCTAAAAGATTTATTTATATGCAAGATAAAACATGAGAAAAGACAATTTTATTGAGAGTCTAGCAAAAGGATTGATTATCTTGTTATGCCAAATTCTAATAATATTTACCTAATTAATAAAATTTTTAGCTATCATTCACAATATCCTTAGACATCCCATTTTTTCCTAACTTGAGAATATAGTTTCACATTTGTTTAAATTAAAGTTTTTAAATCATGATTTTGGTTAAAATAGAAAAGAAAACATATTTGTATTTGCTTTTACAATATTATCAATGAAAGATGTAACTCTCCATCTTATTGTATAGTCTTGAACTAATATAATTTGTTGCTTTTGTTATTTTATTATTCTTAGTTCTTAGATTTTTTTATGAATATTAAGTTGTATTTCATTTTTCAAAAATTTAAGGACTTGATTTTGTCAAAATAAAATAATTTTCATATTGATAATCTACACTAGTATTTATCTAATCAATTTTTAAGACTTCTAAGCAAAATTATAAATCCTACATCAAACAACTTAACTATATACAAATATATATATATATATATATATATACATGAATATTTTAGAAAATATATTATTCTTGTAATTTGTTATTTAATTAATAGTAAGGTTATGCACGAATTGATTAGTACAAAACTAATCCAAATTTACATTTATTTTTAATTTTATTATATGGATTATATTTTAATCCAATCTATTTTATGATATTTAAAACTAATTTTAAATCTAATTTTAGTAGAAAATAATTTTAAATTCAATGTTTTATGTAAATCTAGTTTTCAATTTCAAAATATTGTATTTTAAAGATCTATTTCATTTCCATACGTAGAAAGTTAATTTGTAATTGGAATACTATTATAAACATTGTATTCATACTTTTAATGCAACATAGATATTTCAAGCAATATTGTTTATTTAACAGTAACGTGATCATTATATTTCAAG